TTGGAAATTGCCACGACTACCGTAACAGAGGAGTCCGGGCGATGTGTGCTCATCGAGGTTGCCCTGACAACACGAAGCCAAACCGCGTTGATGCAACGGGAATAGGGACTTTCGCGCTGGTCGGTCGAAATGGGCCTGAGGAGGTGAGCGGAAAAATGGAGTGTCAAGTTTCCGAGGACAACCGACGACTCACCCTCATCGCGTCCAGTCGCGTCGGCTTTACGTGGCAGACGCTGCTTGCCCGTTCGATGGGCTCCAAGCTGCAAATGTTCCAGCAACTGGGCAGATGAGCACGAGGCACGGGTCCGGACGGACCGACCGAGTCGCCTCGACGTCTCGGCTCTGGGCAGCCAGGGACGCGTCGTCGGGTACCCGCTGATCTGAGTGCCTTTTGTAGGCGCCGTTGCGCGGTCCCCAGTGCCCGGAGTCACGCAGACGACGCGGAGTGTAATCGCTGGGCCGGCCACGCAACGAATCACCGCGGGACTCTCTCGAGACGCGTAGACGAGGCTGGGCGGCACTCGGCTGTACCGAGGCACCTCGGCGTAGCGACGTCTCTCGGCCCGAGTCGCCTCGTAACCATCCAATGGGGCATGCGGCGCCGGACCGGAGCCGGAGCCGGAGCCGGAGCCGGAGTCGGAGCCGGGACTCGGACCCGGCGACTCGAGCCTTGGCCTGGCGCGAGTCGCGATGGTCGCCGACTCAGCCGCCCGCCGAGGGGCTGCGAGCGGCCCGACCTCCGCGCTCGGTGCTGACTGGCTAGGCTCCACCGGCTCGATGCGCTCCTCCCGTGGCTCGTGGGCCGCGGTTGCGGGCGCCGCGGAGTCGGCAGCGGCATCGCCGGCCAATGGCGAGGCGTCGAGGCCGGCCGCGGACACGTCCAACTCGGAGAGCGGTACGGAGCCGGCCTCGAGAGTGGGTATTTCGGGCATCACGAACGCCGTCTGACCGTAGGGCCAAACGTGCAGGTCTGCATCGTCTGAGCAGGCAGGTTCGGGGGGGGCGGGAGGTGGGTGAGCAGAAGAGGACACAAAAGGCGGTCGTGAGGCATGGTCAAGCGGCTGGTTGAGGTACGCCCTAAATCAGAGCCCAAACTGGCCAGATGATGCGATTTCGCTCATCCCATCGGTACACAACACATACACGCACACGCACACACACGCACACACGTGTGCGTGTGTGTGCGCGTGTGTGCGTGGCACAATCGGGAGGAGCATAAGACCACTATTCCCGGTGGAAGTTGGCCGTGGACAACGGACGGTAGGACGAGTGGAGCACCGCTGTGAAGTGGAAGAGGAGACGTGCAACAGCCTGACGCCCAACTCGACTGGGCGAGACGACAAGCCTGCCAGCAGTTGGCCGGTCAGACTCGGGTGCTGCAGACCGTCAGCCTCTGCTACTCCACTGGTCAACTCTATGATTGGTGGAAACTATGATTGGTCGAGCTGGCATGCCTTGCATCGACCAATCGTGAGAGAGCGGAGGGGTGATCACAGCTCCAGGCCTCAGTGGCCTGACTAAGCATGAGGGCGAAATATGTGGTGCGCAATTTGGACAATTCATCCGCTCTCGGGCGTCTGGCCTCGCCACTCGGCGTCACCAATACTCTAAAAGGTATGATTTTGCCATTTTATTTGAGCTTGAAATGCCGACAATAACAGCGTTTTCACGACAATGCTGCACAATGAAATTCATTTGACAAGACGAGTCTTGGCTTGCTTAAGCCGCCACTGACTATGAGACAACAACAAAATTGATTTGCCATATAACTCGGACACCGAGATCAAATCGACCAATAAAACAATCGGAATGACGAGGTGATCAGCACCAGCTACCCAAATAAGTACAAGTATTAATTAGGATAATGGGTGTTTTTCATTTTGCCTAGGCCACCAGGTGAAAGAAAACGGATAAATTCTGAGTGAAATAGATTGCGAGTGACAAGATTTAATTAGGATATTGTGAAAAGAGACACAATTAAGAAGGAATCCCATATAATTGGATTAAGCATAATAAAATAAAACACAGCCAAAGGCATGAAGAGGAACTGGAATTTGCATGAATCTTCTGAGATAACTTTATTGTTGGGAGGTTCATCTGAAAAGAAGGAAATCTCGTGAACTATATCAATCTCGATGTCGTATAAAGGCCAAACAGCTGCAGTACAATGGGATTCAACCGTCCTCTTCTGGTGAGATCGACCTTTGAATCTCTTCTTCATACACTTTCATACTAAATGAAAGTCCCAACAATACAGTTAGGGTGATGGGAAAGGGTGGAAGTAAATGGAAACAGAGAAAAGATATGGGTGAAAATAGAGACAAAATAATCATAGTGCAGAGGGCTAGATGAAGTGTCAGGCATAATTCAATGTCTGGAAAGAACACTAATGAGTTCAGCCGAAAATAAAGAAATAAACACGAGATGAATGATAAGCAAATGGAAAAGAGTTTAAGAGAAGAGTCAGGATAGAAATGAAACATAAATAACGACATCAAAAAATGGGAAATTTAGTCAAACGAAATGTAAGATATGAGAAAAGAATGGGCTCTAATAGATTAAGTGTAAGAAACAAGGGGACGCATTTTGAGAAGAGGATATCAAATAAGAAAAAGAACATAATTCTTAAGATAAAATCAGAAATATGAACCAAGCGTAGGCTCTGCGATTAAGTGAATAAAGACAAAATAAAAATAAACTTTATATTTGCCATAAAAAATATGGCGGGTAGGTAGAGAAACAATGTGACAAGGAATGAAATCATAAAGAAACTAGGCGCTATAACAGAGGAGATAAGGTTGTCATGAAATGATATCTAAATAAATGGATAAACTTATAGTTATTGCAAATAAAAATAGAGCAACTTAAAAGAATATTTGATGATATAATAAATGTATAAAACTATGATAT